CACGACGGACGTGGCAGGAGCGCAACTCTCGCACACCACCACCACCACCTTGCAGTCTCGGAGGAGGTGCGAACCGCACATCTGTCTGCGGGCAAATTTAGCTGTGAGGCACGCGTGTATATGGCGTGGGTGTTTGGAATTCCCACTGCCTTAAACATCTGTTGCTGAGAACATTTTGGGCATGTCAGCACAGCGTTTGAACGGGGGGGCGGGGGGGGGGGGAAACTTAAAAGCAACATTTTTTTTGTTTACGGCACTCGGAAAACAAAGTAGCCGGGGATAAAAGTGGCTGAGCAATGTGGACCGTGCAGCGAGATACATTTGGATTCATTGTACGCTGAGAAAATCAGAGAGTGCACAATTGTACACGTATATACACACGCACACGGAGTGTACAGCAGTGCTTGCGGGAACGACATTCCTATTAAGAGACACGTGCGAAATCCCCCATTGGTTGCAACTCTTCCCTAAGTTTGTAACGGCCCCCGATTGCCACTCTTAGCCGGGATATGTGGCAGTCGGTGCAAAGGCCGTTAGAGCACCGGGACAAGAGTGGTGATGAATGGCTAACGAACCAAACACAGTTGTCAACCCATACGTTGTACCAGTATTCTTGTAGCAGGGAAATTTAGTTTTGAGGTCCGTACGGCGTGCACCCGTTTCAACACGGGCAAGCTAAAACAATTATATTTGTGTTTCTCCCTTGTGATGGGACTTTGTAGGATGAACGTTGAGATTTATATGGGGGCACGGGGTGACCAAAAAGGTCTGGATTGCTCTTCGAATAAGGTAGGGCACTGACGAGGGGTTGACAGGTTTGCGCGATTCCCAGATTTGGGCTGCGTGTTCAGCATTTATCCGCTCAAACTTCTGCCACGCACTACTTACTGCGGGCATCGTGATCAGCTGAAGTTGGCAGTGTGATTCTTAAACCCGCGAAGGCGCTCGCAGTGGTGCGTGACAAAAGCCTGGGAGAAAATTTGCTCAACACAAGGCCCAACCGGAAATAACCACACTCCGATTACAAGCTCCGGCAAAATATACGCTTTAGATTATGCTTACCCTTTCTGTGAAGCGTATCGCTAAATGCAGCGTCAAAAAGAAATGTCCATGATTTTTGGTTCATGGCATGTACATTGTTCTAATATTTTTCGTAATGAGTTATTTTTTTTATACATTTGAAGGAACATTGTTCCCATTGTGCCTTAATAGTCTGCTCTCGTTTCCTTGCACGCTGCAATTTAATGGCAATTAACGTTAACGTTTTTCCTTTGAAATGTTACAATTGTAATTCGACTTTACACACGGTTCACGTGTTGTTATCGCAGGTTTGTGCAGCTTCGGTGTTTTGTACTCAGCCTATTTCCCTGGCCTCCCTTTAAAACAACGAGATATGTTTTTTTCTTCTGGGTTCTTTCAGTAAAGTAACGTAGAATGGAGATAAAATAATAAAAATAATAATAACAGAATAAAATTCTCACGACGTTTCGGCCACAACACAAGTAGCCTTCCTCAGGTGTAGAAACAGGACTGTCCGGAAGACAGCGCTTGAGTGAACCCTGCCAAGCTTGGAAGCGTCTTTTAAGCTGTACAGCTGTCTTTTTTAAGTTGTACAGCTGTCTTTTAAGCTGTACAGATTGTACAGCTTAAAAGACGCTTCCAAGCTTGGCAGGGTTCACTCAAGCGCTGTCTTCCGGACAGTCCTGTTTCTTCACCTGAGGAAGGCTACTTGTGTTGTGGCCGAAACGTCGTGAGAATTTTATTCTGTTGTTATTATTATTATTTATTATTATTATATCTCCATTCTACGTGACTTTACCGAAAGAACCCAGAAGATGAATCCCTGCAGTCACGCAAGCTTCAAATTAAAGAGATATGTTTTGTGTCTCTTGAGCAACGCTCCGCTTAACGCAGCAACCCCCCCTGCCCATTGTTGTTTTGCACTCCCACGCCACCTTTCAACCTGCGCTGGCCAGCATGGTGAAGTATGGTCAATTATCCCTCGACCTGCAAGGAGGCACGGGGAGGAGCCGACCTCATCCAGCAGTGGATTTACACAACGGGCCGTACGTGTCCAATGGCACCGTCCCTCCTTGCTTGACATCTCATTATGGACGCATCGAATGTTTCACGTAACAATTATTTTCGACGTATGCAAATGACTTGCACATTCTATTTTTAACGCCACAAATTAAGCCCTTTGTCAATCTACTGCTGTGTTGACCATGGGGGTTTGTTTGACCATACTTCACCGCGCTGGTCAGTGTGGGCTGGTGAAGGAGAGTGCCCTGGATGGGCTCAGATAGCAGCGGTTACCGATGTTGGCTGGGAATCAAACCCGGGTTGTTGGGGAAACAGCACCTGGCGCTAGCCACTGCCACCACTCCCCCTTTAAACGTTATTTTGTCTGCTTATAGAACAACAAATGAGATCATCGACACGAACAACGCAAACCGGACGGTAAATAAAAAAAACAACACAACAGAGTCGGGGCAATTGAACGAGCCTCGACCGTAGAGAAGTGTGTGTGGCTGAATCGCCCAGTCTCTACTCTGCGTTCCCACCTACCTGCCCTGTCACCTGTTCACATGTGCACTGTACATGTCAACAAGCTGCCCAGGTGGCGCAGTGGTTAGCCCACTGTGCAATTAAACCCGGTGGCCGGAGCTCGATTCCCGACCACAGCTAACATCGGTGACGGTATCTAAACCAGTCCAGGGCGACTCCTACACCAACCCACAACTCTTGTTGTCCTGTCCCCGCACCTCCCATTAGCACGGTTGGCCTACGTACGGTGCGAAAGAAGTTCAACAAACAGACATGTGTACGATCAGCACAGTCAAGTTACGGTCAAACATGCCCCCTGATCGACAGTTAGGGGACGAGGCCTTCAGAAGTGGATTAACAAAAGGCCGCAAATTATTTTGTATTGCACACCCACCAAACCTTTCCACCCACCTAACCTACAGTGGTCGCGCTGGTGAAAGTCATTATGCGAGTCGCCCTCTTGAACACAATGGTTACCTCTGTCGTGTTTAGCCAGAGGGTTGAAAATGAAAGGTTGGCAACACAGAGAGAGAGAGAGAGGACCGGAGACAATATTGAGTGACGAGTGTAGATTTACATGCAGACGTGCACGGTCTCGTATTTTACAATCCGCGCGGTAATTAAATCTAGGGCGGGCATGAAGAGACACGACCACGGCTACAGCCCCCCCGGCCCTGCCCTTCCCAGCTCCCACATTCGCGTGTCAACGCATCTCTACCGATTGTGGCAGCGCTAATGACACTACGGTTTTGGCGACCACCCCCCAACGTCCCACCACTACCAGCCCCCCCCCATCACCAGCCCCCCCCCATCACCAGCCCCCCCATCCCACCACCAACCCCCCCCACGTCCCACCACCACCAGCCCCCCCACGGTCCCACCACCACCAGCCCCCCACCATCACCAGCCCCCCGCCCCACCACCACCAGCCCCCAACCCCAACAACTGAAATCGCGATCTTTCGTTCCGCGACTCCGGCGATGGGCTGCGTGAGATTGACCGCGAGATCTCCATGAAAACAGCCGCAGGGATGGGCCATTTCCTCCGGCCGCGAATTAGGAGTGGTCATTCAGCGCTGGTATTCATGACGACGATTTGCGTTTTTGTTGTTGTTGTTACGGCTGATTTCACTGCGAACCATTAGGCTTATCGCGTGCATGAAAAAAAAACCCATCGGACAATGGGTCTGCGGGTCATCGCTTTAACTGTCAATGAGTTAAAAATCCATCATCTTAGCGGCAGTGTGCCTATCGAGTGAGCGTGTCGGCGGTGCGACCAAAAACTCAACTATTAAACTTTTTTTTATTTTACCAGGCAAGGCCCACTGAGCTGCGTAGCTCTTTTTCAGAAGCCACTTGGCTATCACAAATAATAGCCCAACGAAGTGACTCATCGTGTGGAAATTTAATGTAGCAGCCAAATATTCCAAACGCGTGTTTCTAAATGTGGAGGGAAAAACCGACGCGGAGAAAAGTCCACGCGACCACGGGGAGAGAGAGGGACATGCCAACTCCAAATATACAGCAGCAGGCGTCGTCAGGGTTGAGATCGAACCCGCGACCTCCTGTATACCAGGCGAGGTCGTTAACATCTCCTAGCCACCGTGGTGCCTTACACCGGGGCTCAGAAGCCACAGGGGGTCGAGGTGACGGGCTTCAAAGAGGGTGGGGGAGCAGAAGGGGGTGGCCCATGTGAAACCACGCTCCGTCACTGAATCTTAGCCACGCGTCAATACATGAAGGACAGTCGAAAATGTATCTCGAGCATGAAGCTCCACAAGGTTACACCACCGACGATTGCCACGCTTTCAATGTTTTGGCTGCAACTTTCAATGAGCGTCAACAAAGTGACTCGCCGTTTAAAAAAAACAAGCTTTACTTAAAGACACAGGTTGCCGTTAGCCATATAGTGCATGTCACAACGTTTTATATCGTCATTATTTCGAGGTTGCACCTCGGTTTGCTTAAGGCAATCCTCGTGTAACGACGTGTTCTGTACTTTTTTTCGTGGCACAAAGAGGCGTTTGCTGTAATATGGCCAACACCGTTCTTGTACGTACGTTGAACTTCTTTCGCACCTTACATAGCCAACAGTGCTAATCGGAGGTGCGCGGGAAGGACAACCACCCAGAATGCAATATCCACCGACCCGCACTGACCAGCGTGTCTGACCAGGATGGTCAAACAGATCCGAATGACCGACGCAGCCTGGGAAGGCAGAGGCCTCCATCCAGCAGCGGATCGTCAAAGACCTTTACATCACTAGTATTATTACCTTTTAAATCGAGGATTGCGTCATTGCTGGAGACTTGCTGAGCGTGTCAAGTCGATGTCTGCCTCATGAAAACTTCTCTCCAATGTGACAAACGAGACGGCCAACGATACAAAAAAGACACCGTGGGTGCTAACAAAAATATATAACAGTGCAAGAATGAGATACTAAAAACAAAATTGTGCATCAATGTAATTAACCTTTTAATATCTGCTTTAATATAATGTACAAATAATTAAGTGTAATAATTACATTGTTGAAACGTCAGTGGTTACTAAAATATAATAATTAAAAAATTAAAACTACAGGTCTGTAATTTTAACAACTCATTCACGACACTGTTTATATGTAGATAAGCATTTCGTTTAAACTCTGGTTTATTCCTGCAAGAGCCTACCATTTATTCCCAATCGTGAACACCACTTAGAAGCCACCACACGATTGAGGAAAGCCACTCGTGTGAATGTTCCCAGTCTCGTCTCTTCCATTCCTTGTCACGTCGTAGGCTACATCGCTTTGGCCCAAATTGCCTTCCTGAATAAGCCCTCCCATAGCGTATTACTAAATCAAATCGCAACTCAAAAAGCCAGTGGATCATGCCTCATACATACATGCGTTTTGCTGAATCATAATAAATTAGTTGTGTCAAAACAATACAAATATAGCAAATAGTTGTAAAAAAACTGACTCCCAAGGAGCGATTGCTGGTGGCAGTGATTGGGATATTTGGAATTTAAAAACATTGGGAATTCACTAAAACCCTTTTCGCTCAAAAGTACCACTACTACTATGAGGCTGAGTAATAATATTAAAAACACGTAGTCCCTTTAAATATTGTTTATACTTGTCATAACTTTAACGCAAACTTGCAATCATGCCCGCTCACAAAATAAACAACCTTTTCAAAATTACAAACATTGATGGAGTTGCACGACAGTTGGTAACGTCATCAGCAACTCCTCGTTACAAAATGCTCCTGCAAAGTTCGCAAAATCTTTACTGTCACGATAACGCCGTCAGCAATGAAAGTAATTAACGAAGGCCAACCGACGGAGGGTCGTCTGCCCCTCGGCGGATTTATCACGCCCGCGTTGAGGGTAGCGTGGATAAAACACGAGCGTGACACCCCTTGCTCTTCCAGCTATGAATGCGTCTCACACACGAGGATCGGACACGGACTTTCAACAGACTTCGCTCGGATTTGTCACATCTCCTCCGCTGGCGCTGTTTTGATGCTGTTGGTACTTGAGGGATCCAGGAGACTGGGAGTGTTCGAGGGAGATATCCGCCAGTAACAATAGTGTAGTGTGGAGACATTCCTGGTTTTATGCACTCAGATGCATGGACAAAACACTGACAAGATTGTAATAAGGTGTAATTTTAAAATGAGGTCCCATGATAAAATAGCCTCAGATCCGTTGCGAATGGCCATAATATATTATCGTAGGACAACACAGTTGACTGACTTCTGTTTGACTCAAGGCATTAAGTGGGTGATCAGACACGGTGCCTATATGTAAAGTACATTTAAAACGGCAGGTTTTTAAAAAGCGTCCGCTGGGACCACAGTTTTCATCTGAGCAAATGTCAATGTCACTCCCCGTTGGTCAATTTGAGGAATGCTAACGAGGAGCGGAGCCTTTTCAACATCTCGGCGATCCCACGGCAACTTGAAACGCTCGCCGCGACGCCGAGACCGACGTTTCGCCCCACGGCAAGCCGAGCGTCGGCACTTCCGGCAGCGCGCGTTCTCAACAGCCGATCGTCAGTGCAGCCGTGCAGCCGTCGCCACTGCAATCGCTGCGTTCCAGTGAGCGCCGAATTCGAGGCCGCGCCGACCGCATCGCGCCGCTGACTGTTCCAGCTTCTCCGCGGGGCGGCCGTGCCAACAAAGCCACCTTGCTTAACCGCCCAAAGAGCTTCCCGAGTTCCACTGCCGGCGAGTCCGGCTCCCGAGGGCCAGGGCCGTCAACGTTCGCCGGTGCGGATGTAGCTGCTGGTGGCGATGGTGGTGGCGGCGGCGGCGGCAACGGCGGTGGTTTTCCAGCTGCCGGCGTCGGGCAGCGTTCAGGGCTCTTCGTCCAGAGAGGACACGAGGAGACGCATGGCGACGGGGAGATGGTCGGTGAGCCCGGCCAGCTGGGTGATGAACGAGTACTCCTCCACTTCCTGGCACGGAGACGAACAGGGGGAGAAGGGGAGCCGTGGCGCGGTTTGTTCGTGCACCGATAAAAAACCCCACAAGCTGAGTTTGGTTTCCGGCCACGGCGAACATTCGTGGCGAGTGACATCCGAACTGTTTCTGAACCTCCCCGAGGATAATGTCGACTAAAAGTTAGTACCTGGTGCGATGGGGTCGGGGGAGTGACAAAGACGTCTGGGTGTTGCGCTCGCCACACCATCCCCCCCCCTCATGCGCCGTTCCCATCCTTAATAGTGTCTCGCTGACAGCACTTGCCCCAACAGTCTGTAGACTATACGGCTGCGTTCACCACAACGCAACGTGAATCGTTGCATTGTGGCTGGTGCGATCGTCAACACGCGCGGTTGCACACGTGGCCACATTCGGGCGCCGGCCTAGCGGGTGATGCAAGCGCGGGGGAGCACAGGACGTTGGCCTTTAATCGAAGTGGAACATCTGACGAGTGGAAATAACAAAAACAAAACGGGACGAGTTCGCGCCGTTGCAGCCAAAAAGCAGCGGGTGAACGTGCGCGTGTGGTTCTCGAATAGGGACAGGGCAGCTGCGCCGAAGGAAGTGGCCTGCAATGGGGATGGCTGTGCGTGGCTGAATTATTAAAGCTTCACCCGAGCGGGCCCACTCGTTTATCATCCGCCCCATTTGCACATCGACGGAGCGTACTGCGCGGTGCATTATTTACAGCCCTGTCCACGTTAATCACCGCCTTTCTTGGCTCCTAATTATATCCGGTAATTCGATTCGCTTTATTTAAATTTTCTCTCTGAAAAGTGGCGGAATATCCAGGAAGGTGGTTGTTGCCTCTGCGGTTATTGTTTCTTCCGGCTTTACCTTGCCCACAGCAGCAACTGATTTCTGCTGCTTACTGAGCGTATCAACCTCCCGCACCACATCAGCACCATCGTGTTGCCATGATTACAGCAGCCACTGACAAGGGCGCTACCGCCACAATCACCGTCCGAAGTCAGATAGCGACTCCTACTCAAGATTTTATATAATCCACCGCGGAGATGGAGCAATGACATCGGCACCGTCTCAGGTGCTGGGTGGATCATTGCTTCGTAGGATCATGGGGGCGGCGGGCAGTGGTGGTGGTGGGGGGGGGGGTGGCGATGGCTAGGAGAAGCCTTCGTCCAGCGGTGGATTGATCAGGGCTAATTATGATGGTTACTGAGGGAGGGAAAGAGCGAGGTGAGCGAGGGGGGGAGGGAGCAAGGTGAGTGAGGGAGCGAAGTGAGGGAGAGATGGAGCGAGCGAGGGAGCGAGCGAGGGAGCAACGGTGCGCGAGGGAGGGAATGAAGTGAGCGAGAGAGAGAGGGAGGGAGACCAAGCGAGGGGAGCTGAAGCGAGGGAGCAAGAAAGTGAGCGAGCGGAGGGAGAGCGAGCGAGCGAGCGTGTACCGTGCGGCACTCGAGCGAGCTCTCCTCCGTGTGCAGCATGTAGTCGAGACGTCGCCCGCTGCCCCGGAGCGGCACGGGACGGCCGCCCTGGTCGCAGCGCGGGCTCTTGCTGGACGGGAACACCAGGTAGCTCTTGCGGCCTTCCTCGTTCTCCAGCACCCTGCGGACCGTGGAACGACAATGGAATTATGGAGCGTGCCGAGCGCGTAGGTTTTCAAAGGATCGATCGCTCGATCGATCTTGCTTTTGCGTTCTGCCATGAAGGAAACGATCGCCTCGACGTGCTTTGCGTGAACGTTGAAATTCACACGAAAAATACTGAAATGTTGGAGTTAGTTGCATCGGAAAGAATAGCAACCCGTTAATTTTAAAAGTGCTGTAAGAATCAGAAATACAATTTTGATAAATGCAACTTAACAGCAGTAAAAGCAATACATATCAGATTAGGCACGCTCTATCATGACACTTTTTAATATTCCTCTACTTTAGGTGCTACTCGCGAACACCACTTGCCCCGGCAGTCTGTTAAAGGCTATATGGGGGAGGGACCTTTATCTTTGGAGAGTAATCCAGGTTTATTCAACAAGATGCTCACTTCTGCAGGTTTTCTGGTGATGCGACCTCTTCGTCGTACAAGCCTTCCTGGTCCAGCAAGGTGCCTGTGGGAATTACAGCAGGGACAATTTGTAACGAAACTTACACCAATGGGTTTGTACGTAAGCATATTGAACTTCTTTTGGACCGTACGTAGCCAACCGTGCTAATCGGATGTGCGGGGAAGGACAACAAACTCAACACAAAAAGCTGTTCATCACCACCATTATCATCATCATCATAACCCCCTACTTGTTCACACCTGAGTTGGGTTCCCAGCCAGGGCTAACATCAGTCGTGAACTATATACTGGTTGTGTGTGATTGTGTTTTTGTGGTGGTGTTTGTGTGTAGCTTAGCAGTGAATGGGTTGTACTGGCCACCCAAGTTCGATTCCCGCTCACGGCCAACACCAGTGAGGATTATCTGAACCGATCCTGGGCCACCTCTAGGTCGGCTCTGCTTAAAATAGTACCTGGTGCAGTGTATAGTAAACATCGCTACTAGGGAGACAAAGGCGGCCAGGCGTGGTGCTGGCCACATATCCCCTCGTGTGCCGTGCCAGCCTTGATAGGTGCTCGCTAACAGCACTTGCCCCCAGCAGTCTGTTAAGGCTACACGGCGGTGAGGGGGGGGGTCTTTGTGTGGTCACCCCTCACGATCCACGCTGTGTGGGGAGACCCTCATCGAGCAGTGGATTGACTAACGCTCTTTATGACTGTCCATCTCGCGGTGGCGAGATGTTAACTCCCTCGCCTGGTATGCAGGAGGTCGTGGGTTCGATCCCGACCTCGATGCCTGTATATCCGGAGTTTGCGTGTCTCTCTCCCCGTGATCGCGTGGATTTTTCTCAGGGTCCTCCGGGTTTTCCCTCCACATTTAGAATCAACGTAACGCGTTTCGAGTATATGGCTGCTACTATAAATTTCCACGCGATTATAAGCCACTTCGTTGAGCCATCATTTGTGATACTAGAACGCTTCTGAAAAAAAGAGCTATGTAGCTCTGGTGGGCCCTACCTGGTAAAATAAAAAAAATTGTTTCTAATTTAAATGTTGCCTGCATTTACACAGATCTCTGCTCACCGATTGCCCACGTCTTCTCCTCGCCGGGGCCCTGCCGGCACGGGTCGCGGTAGTGCGTGAAGAGCGGGTGGTGCTGCTCCAGCTTGTCCTCTGTTGGACATCAAACAAGGAGGATAATGATGATGATGACGACGGCAATGATGATTTTGATAAAATTTGATAAAATCATCATCAATGATAATAATAATGATGCTGAGGAAGGTGATGACATTGAGGACATTGCTGATGATTGTGAAGGTGGTGATGATCATTGATAATTATGATGATGATACTGAAATGCTGATCATGATAGTGAAAATGGTGGTGGTGGTGGTGATGATATGACTTTACAAGCTCCGTGTCATCATCATCGTTAAACATAACCTTCAAACCACCACCATCACCATCATTGATGTTGTCAGCATCATCATCACCGCCATCATCATAACCACCTTCATCATCAGTTATCGATTTATGTCAGCGTCGTCATCACCGTCACGTGCGTTTACTCATCAGCAATGCGAGCACCACTTGCCACTCGGTGCGTTGTCGTCATCGTGAGAGAGCCGCTATAACGAGACTGGGCCTCACTAGAGGAATACTCTATCGGAATTCCACCATTGGCTCAGGAGTAAAATATGGATGTCAGTGCTGTTGATGCTCATTGGAACTGACTTAATGACCACTGTCGACTGGCGAAATCGATCGTAACTTTTTTGTTACTTTGGCAAAGTGCAGGGAAACCCAATCGTTGACCGTTTAAAAATGCGTCACGGTTCAATTCATGGATCCATAATCATAACCCCCCGAATACAAGTACAGTGCAGTATTTAGACACAACACGAATCCAAAGTTGCATGTAATTCAACCCACGGATTGCTCTCTCAGCGTCGTACCGTAATCCAGTATTTCTTCATTTCTGCATCGATCCCCACGACCACCCGCAGTCTGCCATTCCGCGATCACCCATAATTTATAATCGCAATGCAAATTAAGCCACTGCACACTGCAATTGCTGCATCGTGGGGTGTTGTGACGAATGTAGTTGAGAAGATTCGCTTGCCCCCCCCCCCCCCCTTTGCACGGTATCGATTTTATTGTTGTTTTATGTTTTTATTGTACTTCAACGAGAGGCCGGCACGGAGCATAAACCGTGACGGCACGAGGAGGAGCACGGAAACTCGACGGACAAAGATTCCAAAATCGATGCTCCTGAATACAAAATAAAGAAAGGTGGGGGAGAAGTTGGGATCACTGTCCCACCCAGGCGGGGCTCGCGAGCGGGGAGGACACGTCACTGTATCGAATTTTATATATTGTTTTAAATCGTATGTGGCCCACTCCACAAACGCTGCGACGAATTGGCGCGGACGAGCGTGACGCTCGTCCTCGTGCAGTCCGCCGTGGCGTGGAGTCGATGCCAAGCGCCGACAAAAGGGGGAAGGACCGGCAAAAATGGTTTGGTTTGCGCAAAAATGGTTTGGTTTGCGCATAATCAGCTTTCCGTGTAAAATCCTGCACACATTTACTCCTGGTCTGGCCCGCGCCGAAGCCGCTGTGCGGGTTGGGGGGCTCTCTTGGGCTGAAAAGCATTCGAGCTGACAGCTCTATTAAATATAAAAAAAACAGCTCATCCCTTCAGAGTGCGCATTAAAGAGAGAATTACAGTTACAGGCCTGGCGGGCCAAATGCATCGACTTCACCAGCTCATGGGTTTTTATATTTTGCTGCCATAGGTGGCTCGTGATGGCCATGTCAGAGCACCGAGCCAGCACAGCTGAAAATCTGGGTTTGTAATTCTGCCAGGACAACAATTGCTCCTTGAATTACCCCTCGAATGTAAATGGGTTGCAATGCACAATTATTTCACCGTGAATATATTATGACCATATCACATTGAAACCGTGACTTATCCAGATTCAGCAGCATTTGGGCTAGCAGTGGGCCCTGTGGTGCAGAAATACTTAATTCGTGTAATGCTATGTTATAGTCATAGAGCTCTGTGGTTAGAGCACTCGACTCTCAATGAGAAGGTTGTGAATTCAAATCCCTATCAAGCGTTGAATTCTGGCCATCGTCCTTCCGAACAGTGGTGTAGTTATCGAGTGCGCAGGCAGTGCAACTGCACCAGGGAACCCAGGTGCCGGGCTACAAGAAGGTCGGTAGCTGGTCCCGTTTTGATTCCATGCACCAGGACCCATTTTGTTCATGCGTCGCCAATGTCACGAAGTGCAGAATATTCACCACGGGCTGCGAGCGGAGATCAGTGCGAGTGGAGATCAGTGTGACTAGCTGGATATCAGTGTGACTCGCTGGAGATCAGTGTGACTCGCTGGATATCAGTGTGACTTGCTGGAGATCAGTGTGACTTGCTGGAGATCAGTGTGACTCGCTGGAGATCAGTGTGACTCGCTGGAGATCAGTGTGACTCGCTGGAGATCAGTGTGACTCGCTGGAGATCAGTGTGACTCGCTGGAGATCAGTGTGACTCGCTGGAGATCAGTGTGACTCGCTGGAGATCAATGTGACTCGCTGGAGATCAGTGTGACTCGCTGGAGATCAGTGTGACTCGCTGGAGATCAGTGTGACTCGCTGGAGATCAGTGTGACTCGCTGGAGATCAGTGTGACTCGCTGGAGATCAGTGTGACTCGCTGGAGATCAGTGTGACTCGCTGTAGATCAGTGTGACTCGCTGGAGATCAGTGTGACTTGCTGGAGATCAGTGTGACTTGCTGGAGATCAGTGTGACTTGCTGGAGATCAGTGTGACTTGCTGTAGATCAGTGTGACTCGCTGGAGATCAGTGTGACTTGCTGGAGATCAGTGTGACTCGCTTGAGCATGCACCTGAGTTGCATCACGTAAAAGAAGAAGAAATCACTCAACCTATTCGAATCAAAACTGCCCCGTTATCCTAACAAGTTGAGTAACTTAACATTTTCCAAAATGTGATAATTTCTCTCGGAACGGCCATTAATGGCGTCGTGTACTTTGATGAATGCATTGTTTTTTACAGAAGCTTCCCAATAAAAGCCGTCTGTAATTGGGTGTAATCCGTCAACCAAACATAACGGACGTGTACGTTATTTATCCTATTAGGGAGTCGTTTTTTTTTTAGTTTACACAGTGCCGGATTAAGTTAGTGCGGGGCCTGTAACATATGTTATGAAGAGACCCTAACTAAAAAAACGTAAATATATATAAAAATTTACTTGCATAGTAAAGTAATTGTATTTTTTCATTTGCTATACAGCCAGATAATACGACAAATCGCTAACCTTAAACACCCAGTCGTTCATAAAAGCTGAAGGCAGTATTGTAATAGAGCAAGTGCAGAATCACTGAACCGGAATTGATAGGTTGAAAGCATTGAGCACGCGGCCCTTGAAAGTGCGGGGCCCGTAGCTACTACTACATATGTAGTCTCTACTACATATGTAGTAGCTACTACTACATATGTAGTCTCTACTACATATGTAGCTACTTTTGCTACTAGGATAATCCGGCACTGACAGTAAGGAAACATTTTGTATCCAACCTGCCAATGCATCAAATACATAAAAAAACGAATGATAAAAAACACTAATGAATTGCAAACCTGGCAATGGATTAAGATGCAACTTTAATGATCTCCGTCACCTGACGCAGCTGACCCCACGCTTGTCCCACTCGCACGACGCATAGACTAGCAGCGTGAAACCGTTTCCTTACTGAGGTCCGAATGGGAGTTTCAAATCCCCTTAACAGGATAACCACGCGTGAACGCTCGCACACCGCAGTAACAAAAGGAGAGTTCGCGCGCCAAACTTAGAAAACGTTTGCCGGGTTTAGAATATTTCCCTCTCGTACCCCATTAGTGCAGCTAAGACGCAAGCAGTGGAAGGTAAATGTCGTTCGCAGGGCGTCTCGAAGCGGCCGTTGTCTTGTGGCCGCAGGCCACTTGGAAATGATAGTTCGGCTGGGCTAACCGATTATCCGAGCAATCGATAACTCTCGCGATTATTGATTCCGTTGCTGGGTTTGATGACTCGACGAATCCGATGACAGGAAAAATACAAGAGGGCAACAAAAGTCTCCCCCTCTCTTCCCACGTGTGCTGAAGGTTGTGGGCTGTGATGAGCACATCCGGCTGCATTTGTCTTGCCAGAGGCTGATGTTTACACACCGCGTCGGGTACCTATACGACTGAGCGGACCTAGGGGAGGCCCAGGACAGGTTAAGATATTTGTCACTGACCTATGCAACCATGAATGTAACTAAGACCTGAACCATCGCAGGACACCCGTGAAGTAAAGCCTGAGAGCTTATTGGGCCCTCCCTCTGCTGAAATAAATGAGCGAAAATGGAACTAGGGTCACTGAGTTGGTAGCACAGTAAGCTAACCACTGTGCCACCACTCCCCATTCCCCCGTTACACAATGACAAAGATCCCCCGTGTAGCCTGTAACAGACTGTTGGGGCGAGTGCTGTTAGCGAGCACACGAGGGGGGTGGGTGGCCAACACCACGCTCGGCCGCCTTTGTCTCCCCAGTGGCGATGTTTAATGCACACCGCACCAGGTACTGATTTGAGGCTGAGTCGACCTAGGGGAGGCCTAGGAACGGTTCAGACAATCGTCACTGATGGTGTTGGCCGTGAGCGGGAATCGAACCCGGGTCTCCGGGTTCGTAGCGCAGCGTAGCGCTCACCGCTGTACACACACGCAGACACACACGGGGGAATGGGGAATGGTTGCGCAGTGGTTAGCTTACTGTGCTACCAACACGTGCACCTTCGCAGTTCCGAGGCAAATTCAAATTCAACGAGCGGCTCACGATGCCACGATTTCCCACGTGGCCCGGAGCTTTTGTGAAGCATTATGAAAATGACCACGGCGTGTGACAGGTGCCGCGGGATTCGCCTCGCCGCGCCGTGCGGTTTTTCTCACTTAATAACGAGCGAGCGACACACTTTGGTGGTTTTTTTTTGGTAACCTTTCAAAAACACCGCGCGTCCTGCTAGCGCAGAGCCGCGGTGCATCTTCGCACGTCTCGTTATCACGATGACGGATGATGTTTTGCTGAAACTTGAATCGTGTCTGGGACAAAACGAAAGAGCGGCTTAAGAAAGGAATGTTGATAGGAACCTTGATATGTCAATGTGAATGTGTGAACCGAACACGTGTGAGTACATACAATATTAAATTTCGATTTAAAGCTTTCGTGACTGCAGGGATTCATCTTCTTGGTTCTTTTCGGTAAAGTCAAGTAGAAGGGAAATAATAAAATAATACATACAATATTGTACGTGAAAATCCTCTCTTTGCCCAGGAGAAAGCCTTGCCGAGTCTAAAAGCTATCTTTTAGGAGGGTCGTGCCTTATGATGTTTGGCATATTGCTTTAATGAGTGTTTGACACTTGTAAGGAAACCAGAGTACTGTACCTGGAAAAAAAAGCCATAAAAGTAGGGGGAGTGGGTGGGCAGGATTATGCTCAAAGCTCCACACAGATATAATCAAGGATCCACGTGCTATAATACCATTTCCCAGCAATCCTTTAACGACCCAAGTTTCTAATGCTTGCTATTTCCAGCTAGGCTCCAATATAAGTACCAATCAGGCTCACCAACCTAGCTTCTGTGATCTTGTTACATCGGGAGCATTCAGGGTTTGTCGTGGGCACGACGAAAACGTTATCACCGCTTCCCACGGCTTGCTCGTCCAATTTATTCTGACCTTCCAAGGATCTTTGGGGTGCCGCGGTGGCGAGATGTTAACTACATTGCCTGGTCTGCAGGAAGTCGTGGGTTCGATCCTGACCCTGGCACTTGTATATTTGGAGTTTGCATCTTCTTGCCGTGCTCGCGTGGATTTTTCTCCGGGTTCTCCGTTTTTTTCCTCCACGTTCAGAATCAACGTCACGCGTTTAGAGTATTTGGCTGCTTCTATAAATTCCCAAGTGATGATAAGCCACTTCGTTGAGCTATCATTTGTGGCCAGGTTGCTTCTGAAAAAGAGCTATATAGCTCATTGGGCCCTTACCTCGTAAAATAAAAAAAAATTGTTAAGTTTATCTCCCGTGCCTTCTCTCTCTCCTGGCTCCGGCTTGTTGAGCAGAACCCTCACGTGAGAGGCAAGCCCATTTAATGGCTGACTGCCTCAACTCAATCATATAAAACTGCAATACACAAAAACGTATATATTTCCATCTGTGCTAAAAGTACAAAGCAGAGCATATCAAGTTGTGTGTCACAGATAAAATGTTGTTCCCCCTTCGGAGTAAATTATCCCCCCATGCTTTAAAACCACTGGATTATAATGCAACACGCCTCTGACTCGAACACAGCGGCCGGCCAGATGGTGAACACACTGGTGGGGTGTGGGAGAAGCTGTTGGGGGGTGGTGGGAGTGAATGTATTGTATAATCTTTATCGAGAGCAAAAATATTTGGTGGTGCTGCTGCGTTGGCAGCGGTGCCCAAGCACAGCCAACAAACAAACACACACTCGTCAATAGCAACACCGTGGCCTTTGAAGGGAAAAAGGAAAGGGGGCGACGTTTCGGGCAATGGCCCTTCACGTAAACGATTTGCTACGAACGAGGGCGATTCCCCGAAACACCGATTAGATTATTCCTTTTTAAGGCCACAGTGCTATTGACGAGTGTGTTGAGGTTTCTTTTAGTTACAATGAGCAGGTCGGCATTAAGAAGAAGATGTTTCTCCTTAAAGCCCCATCGGTCCCATTGGCTGGATGAAGCCCCCCCCCCAGTCCCCTACTTCACCACGCCGCGATCTAGTCCAGCGGTGGCCGGTCGGTCAGTCGGTAATCGTCGGGAGCAGGGCGAGTAGTTGATCGCCTAGCATTGCTCCACCCGCAGACCGCTCATCCTTCCTTCCCCGTCGCACCGACTGCCCTCTCACGCGTTTGCTCCGCCTCTCCTTCGCGTCGTTAGCAGCGCGCTCGCGCGCTCACTCACCCATGGAGCAGTTGTCGAAGTTGAGGTCGCCGCACATGACGTCGAAGAGGACGATGTCGCGGCTGGCGGGGCTGCCCGCCGCCTCGCCGCTGCACTCCTTGCGGAACTCGGCCTGCCACTGCACCAGCAGGTCGAGCTGCTCGCAGCGCACCGACGCGTGACCTGCTGGGCGCCGCACGGCCACGGCGTCACGCACACACGCGGACGCAGCGTCAACCGCGCACCATCGCCGCGTCGCCACGCGCGATTGGACGCGCGGCGGCACCGCCACCGCATCGAACACCGTCTCTCGCAAGCATTTGGACGTTCCGCACATGCCCTGGACTGCACGCCAGACGTACGGCGTCGCGCTGCGTGCATCGTACATGGCGCGACGTGTCGCCCCGGGCACGTAGAGCTACCTTCCCATTTTTCACCAAATGCGTATACTCACATGCACCGTTACCCTCGTCGTCATCGCTGGGCGAAGGCCTCTCCAAGCCACCGCCATCTCTCACACTTCCGCGGTGTAATAACTCACCTTGTACTTCACGCGTCATTGCATCTCGCGTGCCAGTAACTCGCACCGCACATCCGAATTGCGCAGATGGGCGGTGAATCTGTCTTTTGCCACCTTCTTCCAATTGTGTTATCAAAATCAGGCCACGAGATGAATCATTTCAATTCGGAATTCTCGTAGTGAGCGGCGCACTCGCTCGTGGCACAGAATTACACGTGGGCCACCGCCCTTCTCGACGCCCTGCAATCAACCCGTGTTCCTTCTGTCCTCATCAAACTGAAATATTTCATGCCCAGACCTGGAACTGGAACACGACAAATTAAGTGAAAAGGGCGTTACATTTGATGGTCCTTTTTTGTGGCAATCGCGAGTAACAGGGCTGAAACCATCAACTCGCTGAGCCGGTTTTAATCACAAGAGGCTGAAACACAGATTTATTACCCATGATCTCGGTGGGTCAAGCTCAGTGCTCTGACGACAGCACGAGCCCCCCTGAGCTGCCCAATCGCCCCTGCCATGGAGTGGCATAACAATCAACGAGCACGAGCGGCGTAGACGCGGGGTTTACGAAGGGGGTCGGTGGTAAAATGAGACATGAGGCCCCATTGAATAATTCCTAGTACCAGGGCCCATGTCAACCAAAGCTACGTCACTGCCACCGCGCACATCTGTGGGTGCATTTGAATTCGATGTGGGTGCGGTGCACTCTCATGCTCACCAGGCTGGGCTGATGCCATCATTTGCCTTGGTGGGAATAAAGGTGTGTGGGCATCCTTTGATTTAGTGTCGCCCGCCCACAGCCCAGTCGAGTTGGCGAGGGGACGCTCAACTTGTGGGACTAACAAACGGGGAAGTCTACTCAGTTCGATTCATCCGTCGTTTGTTTAACCAGGGGCAACGGGGTATCCCGTACAGATGGAAACAGATGACGATTAGACCACTTGCCATACTGTCTTCTCCTGGCAAGCCAGAGTATGGCACCTCTTCAACACCTAAGGGAAGCGAGTTTCACAACATTTGTTGCGATCCACCAGCCAAGGCATAGTGCTGGATTTCCCGCACCCCCGGTTCGCGTGGTTGGCTACGTAGGGTTCGAAAGAAGTTTAGCGTATATACGTACGTACATACAGGCGAGGGCAACGCTAAGATGCAGGATGCAACAGCCGTTTCGCAAAGGGAGGTTCTGCGTGATCGTACCAGGGCCGACGCCTTGGGGCGCTCGTGGGCCCCGCAGCATCCAATGTCCCTTTTGGGCCACCACCCAAGTTCACTCTTTCTTAGCGGCGCGTCACCGTTACGGTGCCCCCCACCCCACAGTGGGTCTACTGCCCCCTCCACCCATCCGTGGAGCTGGAACCAAGCCTCGACCTTATAACGACGAGAACGTTGTTATGCTTTAAATTTCATGATAAATGAGTTGAGGGTTATTTGCTAAATGTTAGATGTTGTCTATGATATATACACGCAGGGCATGAGTTAATTTAAAGTGGAATGTTATTGTTGTCCCACAATGTTAATAATTGCTCGGAATTAATTTTACGTACGCGTTTTTTGCGTTATTGCATTCACGATGCACCTCAAGCCGTCTGGCTGTTATGGCAACGTGTTATTTTATGACATTGGGTTTCACAATGACACAACAGATGGAGAGACGTGCATCTTCGGCATGCGAGGACAAAGGTAATAGATGGCCTTCGTGACCCAAGGACGAAAATGATGTCTTGCATCTCTTGAACGCCAAGTTTCCTCGCGTCAAACGCAAGCATTACTCGCAGCTTCCCACTACGCCGTGCGAACCTAAGTCAATGATGATGCTCATCAGCATTCTATTGGGCCCGGCACATGAATCAGCTTGAACACAGACACTGCACTGCACGTAATGGTTACGCGTTTAAAAATACATGCCGTCCATGTTCACATTTAAATTATAGATGGCCGCGGGCCCACCGGGCTACGTTGAAGTGAGGCAATGGTTGAATTCAAATCGTGGACACTTTAATTTTTGAACGACGTTTCGCTGTCATCGGAGACCAGCGATCTTCATGCAGAGTTCAGATTTTTCGGTCATGTTCAGTTTGTGGAACTGCCCTCTGCTCCACCAGAGGTGGCACCTCTACACCGGTAGGGACAGGACATGTCTCAGACGGAGTCTCTTCAAATATACAGGCGACCCTGACGCCTGTATATTTGGAGTTTGCATGTTCTCCACGTGGTCACGTGGGTTGTGTTTTCCAGGTCCTCCGGTTTTTCCCTCCACATTTCTAAACGTGCTTTTTAAAGTATTTGGCTGACATACATTTCCACGTGATAAGCCACTTTGTTGAGCTGTCATCTGTGGCGAGCTTGGTTCTGAAAAAGAGCTAAATAGCTCAGTGGGCCTTACCAAGTTAAAGAAAAAGTTTATATTTTTGTTTATCTTGCGTGCTTTGACGTTGCCGTCTCAGAACACCTATTTTGCCAGGATATTTGTCCAAATGTTAAATTCATAGGGGGCACCAGCATGTTCGTGCAGGTCGCCTCTTGTGGTTTTCCTTTCTTTATTTCACGGGCGTTTTGGTTACAGTATATCCCCCCTCCTCTTGTCATTTCCTCTCCCTTAAATACAAAAAAGCTACCCTTACCCCTCCCTTTCGGTAGGGTCCGGCCTGGTTTGGGGCAGCTCCCCATATTTCTATCCACCGCTTTTTATAACCGGTTTAGTTTATGTTGACTGTATGTACGCGCGTCACAACGCGATGCAACGGGCCCACGCATTGCCTCAGTAAAAACAATATAATCGGTGGCACCTACACTGGCCACGAGACCACACACACTTGTGAATGAACTCTGCGGAGTCCTTCTCAGAGCGGTAGTGCAGCGGCCCGCTCCCCCCCCCCTCCATCCCCCCCAAAATGTTTAGACACCAGCTGTTGTACACCATAGAAGCGTTTTGAAATGTAAGCATTTAAATTTTGCAAATAAATAATGAACGTTTTACATAAGCCGTTCATCGTATTTTGTCGCTTCCAAAACGTTCATCTGGGTGCACCGCTGGGTTAGAGGCCACGAAGTTTGCGAGTCCTGGAGCGCAAACGACGTGGACGTTTCTTCGATGTAAACACGTGGCGAGCACGCCACACTTGGCACGCGAGAGGCCTGCCACGTTGAGCTGATGCACTCAGAGTGCAGGACCCACTCTGCTCCTGAAGCTGTCGCCACATGGCTCACAGACTTAAACCTGGACGTATAACGTTCGCGTACTTGACTTACGCTAGAAGATGAAGTGCTAGAGTTAGCGCTAGGGCTAGTGTTAGGGTTAGCGAAAGCGTGAGGGATACGCGTGAGTGTTAAGAGCATGGTTCAGTGTAAGGGAAAGCGTTGAGGTCAGGGTGCTTAGTGTTCGCGTGAGCATCAGTGCGAGTGTCGTCGTGAGTGTTGGTGCCACGCGCAGCGTCGCGCGCCACACAAACCTTCGGCAGCCTGCGTGTGCGTGCACGAGACGAACCCCACGAGCCGGCGCTCCTGAGCAGTGGTTCCAACCTGAACCTGCACGCGCACCATCACCATCATCACCACCACCGCTGTCACGAACCACCAAAAGACAAAGATCCCCCGTATAGCCTCAACATACTGCTGGGGCAAGTGCTGTTAGCGAGCACTTGTAAAGGCCAGCACGGCACACGAGGGGGTGGGTGGCCAGCACCAAGCCCGGCCGCATTTGTCTCCCGAGTGCTGATGTTTACTCACCGCACCAGGTACTCATTTGAGGCTGAGTGGACTTAGGTGAGGCCCAGGACCGGTTCAAATAATCCTCACTGGTGGTGGCCGTGAGCGGGAAATGTCGCTGGGTTCATAGCGCACCATTGTCACCACAACCATCATCACTACCACCATTGACACCACACCCATCATCACTACCACTATTAACACCACACCCCATCATCACTACCACCATTAACACCACAACCATCATCACTACCACTATTAACACTATAACCATCATCACTACCACCATTAACACCACAACCATCATCACTACCACCATTAACACCACAACCATCATCACTACCACCATTGTCACCACAACCATCATCACTACCACCATTAACACCACACCCATCATCACTACCACCATTAACACCACACCCATCATCACTACCACCATTAACACCACACCCATCATCACTACCACCATTGTCACCACACCCATCATCACTACCACCATTAACACCACAACCATCATCACTACCACCATTGTCACCACACCCATCATCACTACCACCATTGTCAGCACACCCATCATCACTACCACAATTGACACCACACCGACTGCCGCAGCCACCTATACCATCGACTGTAACAATCATCACCACTGCCAACTCATTTGACGCCCTGGCTGTCTCGCCCAGCCTTCTTTTAGCACAGCGGAGCAAAGAGGACACAAAGCATTGTAAACAGAAAAACAGTAAGACCTCTTTCGTTCAGAAGCTTTGCAAGGCGTGGCAGAATTTTAACATACAAATTCTAATCGTTTTAGCATTTCTGTTGAGAATTTTAGGAATTAATTAAGCAGACAATATATCTACTTCAAAAAACGTTCCTTCACATTAAAAAAAATAAGTTTTTACACTTCTTGTCCCCCACAAGGCCGTCTAGGAGTGCAACATTTCATTGGTGAAATACAATCCAACTCTGGAGCGGTTTTCAACATAGTGTTTCATCAGCAGAGTCAGGCTTCTTTGTAACATGTATGCATATATGTATGTCGTACTCAGATTGTAAATGTTGTGGCTTGGCTCTCCAACAAACCGGTGTGCTGTACTAGTGACGACTTGGCACGTTCTGTTTAGGTGACAGCCCTTACTAGGTTGGCTGTTTCAGGTGGTGGCGGGTTTTAACAACACATTTATGTATTTATGCGATCTAACCCAAAAAAAGCTCTATTATGGATATCTACGTATGTTGAACTTCTTTTGCACCGTACTGTAGGACAACAAACAAACTAAGCAGTAAAAAATGAGTTTTCAATCCAGATTTAAAAGTGCATCGCTCCCAGTGGCTTCCTAAAGTCGGAAGGAAGAGCTTTCCAGACGGCCGCAGAAGCGAACCAGGTAGAACATTACGCAATGCGCAACCCAGTGAACACTTTACCAGTGAACAGGAACTCAGTCACCCAGTGCTACGCCGTGGGGTGGATTCCTTCATGCAGATGGAAGAGACATTACACCGAGGTCCACCTCATAGGCGAAGGGCCATCAAAGATCCAGTGCCTCCCCTACGTTGAGAAGCAGCAGCAGCGGCAGCAGCGGCGTTGATCCGAGTGTGTTGCAGCTACAATAACCACTATCGGTCAATGAACAACGAGACCTCTGGCCTAGCCAAATCCCTCCCGAGCGGATAATTTGTCTGACGTTTTCTTTTGGCGCGCGCGGGTGCTGGAGCCTCTCCCTATAATCACGGGAACGCGACATGTCCTTGCGCCGGTCCTGATGCGACATACCGTGTCAACCCACGCGGTTTACCCCGGTATTCTTGTAACAGGGAAATTGAATTGTCAGGTCCATCAGTTGCAATACGGGAAAAAAAAACAATGTTTTGTGTCTATTTGTTTGTGTTTCTCCCTTGCGATGGCACGTTGTAGGATGAGCGTTGAGATTTATAAGGGGCACGGGGTGACCAATAAGGTCTGAATTGGTTTGTAATAAGGTAAGGGCACTGATAAGGGATTGACAGGTATCCGACGATGACAACCACACCCCAGCCAGCAAGGGGCAAACTCTGACAGTGTGCCGCTAACTGTCACCGACGGGGGTACAATGTACAGTGTCTGTACGTCGAACTTCTTTCGCACCGTACGCAGCCAACCGCGCTAACCGGAGGGGCGCGAGTGTTGAACGCGCGCATGCACGTTGCGTGGACACATCAAATGGGACAAAACGCTTGGCTTGACGCCCAGGAATCTCACGCTTGATTATCGTGAGCTTGGACACGATCTCGATTGACCCATCAGTCGATGCCAATTGTGCAGTGACGTCAATTATCATTTCACTCGACGCATCTGCCCTCCCTGCTCCTCCTCCCCAAACCCCTCTATGTACATAATGCTAATCAAAGTAGAAGTCGGAGATTATGTAATCAGGGCGACTTACAGTTGCCGACCCTTTCTGTAATCCACCTACGGTAGAGAACACAAACGCGTGGCTTGTGGCGAATTGAGTGTCGACGAGGCTTCGGGCGCAGGGGGATTGATCGTACGTGTGTGTGTGTGCGCGTGTGTTCATTCGGCCGAAAATAATCTCGCGTCACTCGGCTGGAGTTATCGGGCGGCGCTCAGTCTCATCTGTCGATCTGTGATGAGCGGAGGGAATTCCACGTGTCTATGGCCGGGAACAGCCTGCTCACGTGTCCGGCGTGGTTGAGCTTCGGCCCAGTCAGAATCAGAATCTTTATTTGCGCCGGAGGAATCCGTTGAGCTATGAAGCTCTTTATTTCACAGATCTCAGTAAGGGGCTGGTCAGAATGTTACAAACAACACACAGTACAAAAACACGATCGGAATACCAAGTATAGGAAAGGTAAGCAAATCACTTAAAAATATATATTTACAAACGAAACTATTTCTATCTTACCAGGTAAAGCCCACGGAGCTGAGCTTAGTTTTCAGAAGCGACGTGGTCACAAATGATGGCTCAACGAGGTGGCCCATCGCGTGGAATAGTATGAGCAGCCAAAATAACCCAAATAATCTAAACGCGAGTCAACGCTCCCATTGCCACGCGTGGCGGTTCCATGGACCGACAGCAGCGGCGGCGCGTTCACCACTCGCTGCAGAGGTTCGCGGCGTGAGACCAGCGGCCGCGCTGGTTAATACTGCGGCCGGACTGACCGTAATAATAATATACTGCTACGCGCGCCGTCTTCTTCGCGGTGGACGTTGAAGAATCCCGCGATGTCGTTCGCGAAAAGAATGGGTCATTCCGTGGCCGGAGCCATCGTTTGAGTGTTTCAAATTCGAGAAAATCACCTAGAAATCACTCAATTGGGATTACATATAGCGACCATCGCTGCCGACTAGAAACAACTTGGCAGGACCCTCCTGAAAAAGAGTTATGAGAGTTCACCAGCCTTTCCTGACAAAACCATTATTATAATGTTACTCACCTTTGGAAATATCATGGGCAGTGATACCCCGGCTGGGATGAAATATCATGGGCAGTGATACCCCGGCTCGGATGTGAACTAAAAATCTCATTGTTGGGAACTCTGTTGCTCTGCCAACTGAGATAAATGCTGGTCCCAGAAGTAACATTTTAAAATGAATAATGTATTCACAGATTAATTTAATCTAAAGTTGTATTCCAATTGTGCTATTGGCATCTGCTTCGATGTAAAGCTTTCGTGACTGCAAGGATTCATCTTCTTTGGTTCTTTCGGTAAAGTCACCACGTAGAATGAGAATAAAATAATAAAATAAAACAATAAAATTCTCACGACGTTTCGGCCACAACACAAGTAGCCTTCTTCAGGTCCCGACAGTTTTTGTTCCTTCACCTGAAGAAGGCTACTTGTGTTGTGGCCGAAACGTCGTGAGAGTTGTATTGCTTTATTTTATTATTTTATTCTCATTCTACGTGACTTTACCGAAAGAACCCAAAGAAGATGACATCTGCTTGTTATGAGTTTAGGAAATTGCAATTTGAAACTTTTCCAGGAAGCAGTGTAAAGGTAATTTAATTAATTTAAAACGTATTTCACTTACGTAATCCATTAAGATGGAACATCACTCAAGTTACATTCGCTACCTTTGGAAGATAAACTCACAGAACTACTTCTGCGGTCCCTTCAATTGCCCCTCATCCGCAGTAGCTTTTGATGCATCTCATCACATGCTCCGCTATAGCAGTCTTAGGTACGGATGCCAGGGAATACAGGTTGTACGTTTGGTTTCTTGGAAATCTACAGGCTCTATTGAAATTGGACATCAGCTGGAATACAACAAGCCAGAAGCCTAATGCGACAGGCCTGCGGTTACTTTGTCCAATTGCCTTAATATTTGGATAGGAATGTGACGTTTAGTGTGCGAATACATTCGCAGCTATTGCAAAAATATTTGACAGCGTCCTGTCACAACTGGTTTAATGAATCAGCGGTTAATAAACAGGCTCGCGAAAAAACAGCTGTGAACAGATCACGCTATTAATTACAAGCGTCTCGTTGTCACGGCTCTAGTTTAGCGCGCGTGTATTTTCCATGAACTTGCAAACACCGCCGCCGCCGCCGCTGCTTCACACTGTGATGCAAATCCACCAGGAGGCTTATTTAACATTTGAAAGTTTCTACGCGTCTCAAGTTTTTTTCTTCCTTCCGCCGCGCGTCTTTTTTTCCGCGTTCACTACGCGCACAATGGCTTGTCGTGGAACGCATGCCTCGCGCGGTCGCTGCAGACGAGTGAGAGAGATACGTGTCTATGCACGTGTGTATTAAAAAAAAAGTGTGCATTCTATTCTGTGTACATGTCCCATGAACGTATGTTGAACTTTTTTCGCACCGTACATAGCCAACCATCACGCTAATATTGGAGGTGCGATCACTGGTCTATCCAGGTCACTGTCGACAGTGGGTGTCTGTGACTCTATTACCATTGTTGTGTGAACTTCTTTGGCAACGAGGAGAGACTACGTTGGCCACTCCTGGTGTTATCCACGCCACTCACTCGAACAGCAATTGCCCCAACAGAGAGTAATGCTAACTCAGAGGCATCTTTGTCTTTGTAGTTAGTATGTTTGTCGAAGCAAAATGATGCGTGTGTTTATTTTGTAAATTGCAGTTGTCAAGTCTGGTCATCCTCTTGCCTGATATATAAATATATACCAGCTTGATCATGCTTGCTGTCTGTAGTCCCAGTGAGTGAACAGGTAACGGGTAAAACTGTCGTACAAAACTCACTCCATCGCGGTGAACAATCAATCGGCAACACAGTACACACCACCACGACGTGAATAATCGTGGGGCTGCATAATCATTCTCTCCATCTGGCAGCAATTTTCATTAAAACTGGAGCCGACGGTGGCGAGGCTCAAACAAGAAACACCCCAAGCGCTGAGCACTTCCTGGGCGCTGCGCAGCGCTACCAAGAGATTGAATTAATTCCAGTGTGTGACCAAACCTACTCTCCAAAATCAATGACAAACCCAACCGCAGAAGTCTCCGAATACAACGACGCAAAACGCTTCCACTCCCTCCCCACGTCTCACCTTCACGAAGAGAGCTCCCTTGGACACTAAAACATCGGCGCCCTTGGCGTTGGGGAAGCACCTGTAGTCGGCGTCCAGGATGGGGTAGCAGCTGGCGAAGAAGAGGCCACTGTTGAAGAACTTGAAGGAGCAGCCGTGAAACCCGTACACGCCCACGTCGTACAGCACGTACTGGAAGTACGCCTGCAGCTGCGTCCGAAGCTTCTCGGCCGCCCGCTTGTCGAACACCTCCTGGAGGCACAGGAAGTCCAGGTTGGCCGGGAAGAAGGAGGATATCTCGTAGTCGAAGGGCTCATCTGTGGGCTTCTTCCTGCGCATGGAGCTCTTCTTCATCACCGACGGCTTGTACACGAAGCGCGTGGGCCACCCGGTCGGGTCCGTGCTGGCCCAGTCGGGCGACCGTGGAGGCTGGGAGAGAGACTCCTTGGAGGACGCGCGGCTATCCTGCGTCATCGCTCCTCCTCCGCCTCCTCGCTGCTGCAGCTGCTGCTCCTCGCCGTACGTCACCGTCTTCTTGCCGTCGGCCTCCGGCCCCGCGGGCGGCTCGGCCAGCACGAGCTGGATCCCCGAGAGGTCGACGCACGCCGAGCCGTCGCGCTCCGCGTCCGCCCGCTCCCTGTGCCCGATCACCGGGGACGGGCTCGCCGAGTCCACCGCCGCGCGTCCCCGGGGCCCGCCGTCCATCGCGCAGGCCCTCCGCAGGCTGACGGTGGGCGAGGGCCCGGCCGAGTCGGCGCCGCCGCCCTGCGAGGACACCACGAGGAGGCTGCTCCAGCTCGCCGCGCTGATGGACGTGTTGGTGGGCGAGTCGACGTAGATCTTGATCTGCGGGCGGCTGGCGCCCGTGCGCACCCTGCGCCCGATCTCCCGGGCGCGCCACTGCGTGTCCGGCAGGTTGCCCACGCGCGCCAGCGAGTCGGGCGGGAGGCGCACGTTGGCCGTGGCGAAGGCGAAGCTGCGGCCGGACGCGAGCGGCCGCGACTCGAGGCGGGCGCGGGCCGCCGCCGCCGAGAGCGCCGGGTCCGGGCAGCCGGCGTAGGCGTAGGCGCGGCGCGCCAGCTGCAGCGGCGCCCACGCCGCGAAGCCGAGCAGCGCCAGCGGCAGCGAGGCGGCCAGCAGCGCCAGGTAGAGAGGCGCCGCCACCACGACGGCGAAGAGGAAGCGCAGGCAGCGCGCGTCGTCGCCGCCGCCGCCGCCGCCGACGCCGGCGACGCCGCGGCGCCGACGCCGGCGCCGTCGCGCCGGCAGGCGGCGGCGCCGCTCGCAGGTGCCGGAGATGAGCGCGGCGAGCAGGCGGTCGCACAGCCAGTAGCACGGCACGATGAGCAGCCAGGCCGCCGCGTGCACCGCGCGCAGGAACGCGTTGGGGAAGGGCGACGTGTGCAGCGCCATGCTCCCGGGCGCCGCCGCCGCCGCCGCCGCCGCCGCTGCTGCTACCGCTGCCGGTGGCTTCACATGCCGGGTTGCGCTTTCGTCAGTAGAAGTGGGGGAGGCTTCCCGGGCACACGGAGTGAAGCCGGACGGCCGCCATTGCTTGCAGACTCTGTCCTGAGCTGCAAGTGCCCTCTTCTCTTGGTGTTTCCTCTCCTGTTGTCTCTTTTTCCTCCTCCTCAGGGTCTTCCTCCTTGCGCCTGGTATCTATCCTCCGGGAGTATCCTCTGGTCCTGAGTCGGCAATCTCTAGAAGCTCAGTCACACTGAAGAAGAAGATAAAATGTGAAGCAGGTTCATCACAAACACCACCCGGTCATCCAACGTGCAGGCCATGACCCAACCGAGTTAACGCATCGTTGATCAAATCATCGCATGCCAAGAATGGCATGTGCAGCATATTTGCTACTTGCATTTTCAGAAGAAGAAAAGTTTAAATACTCCAGTATATACAAAAAAAATAAAGAAAATATTACTACATTACATGATGATTAAAAGCAACTCAAAATTCTTTTCTGCGTACAGCACGGTAATTGCAAAATCTTTATTAATATTTTTCCAGTAATACATTTCGACAATGAAAGGCTGCTTGTTGTTGCTGGTGCAGTGCAGAGTGAATGTGCAAGGTCATGGGCCGATTTGGCAGCGGTGGTGGCACGGGTACTGTCAGTATGCACCACCTGTAAACGATTACTAAACTTAACTATTTTTATATTTTACCTGTTGAGGCCGACTGAGCTATATAGTTCTTTTTCAGAAGCAACCTGGCCACAAGTGATAGGTCAACAAAGTGGCTCACCACGTGGACATTTATAGCAGCCAAATACTCTAAACGCATGTTTCTAAACGTGGAGGGAAAAAAACCGGAGGACCCGGAGAAAAATCCACGCGACCACGTGGAGAACGTGCAAAAAAAACTCCAAACATACAGCCGTCAGGGTCGCGATCGAACTCACGACCTCCGATACACCAGGCGAGCTAGTTTAACATCTTGCCATCTGTGGGTGTCGGCAAAGTGGCTGATGGATCTCGTGCCCTTGACGTCAAATAGTCCGTGCTTGCTTCAGTTATTTAATGGCTTCGCGGAATGAGTAATTGGTTTCTGAACCTTCAACGACAAGGCCTTAGAGCCAACAATGATAGGCTGTTTTTAGCGTATAAATATTTTGACGAATTGTGATATTGTACTTAAATGTAATGATAGCAAAACAATGCGAGGTCCTTTTTAAATTGGGAATTGTGTAACAAAAAAAATATATTTTTGAGAATACTTTTTATTCTTTTAAAATAATAGAATTGATTATCTGAAGCGGCAAATTGTTACTTAGGTTCACGGTACTCCACGTACATACATGTCCTTTATAGTACAACAGCGATCATCGCCTTTAATACACATTTTAAAACAGAGAGCAGGTCAGTACTACATAGTCATCATGGTGGCTTCATTTTAACAGGGGGAGTTCACCCAATTCAATCGTGCACGCAAAATTAACAGCCCATCTTAAGTTCCCTGACACACAGCCAAACTGGGTCAGGTAACCCCTGCGAGAGTGCAGCGACGTTGGTAGTCACAGCGCTCAAGATCCCCATAGCATCGAGACCGGGGACGTGCGGTCAGGGGAGGCAGGTGAGGCACAGCCTCACCAACTGTCATACTCCAATGAAAATAGCTGTTACGAAAATTAAAAAATATAATAAACTAATAATTGTAGATTTTTCCACTGATCTGTGTTATAAATGTCATTTCTGTACGATTCCAATCATTTTTATAGTCAAAATCACCAAATTTGAATTTGCGGAGCTCCGCTGCAAATACAGGGAGAGACGAGAGGTGAGGCAGAGACAAGCTCAGCATCCCCTGTGATTGCGCAACCCCTCAGTAACTGGATGGAGCGCTGGCAATAAGCGCGTGCCTGTTACTATCTCAGTATGTCACCAATGTAATGTTTGTAGACCCCTTCATTTCATGTCCTCGCCTTCAATACTCCAGGTAACTTATTTCACGTATGTGTATAAAGATATTTAGGCTCGCCGGTCTCGTCATGAAACTGCAATGAAAAAGCACCAGGGGAGGCAGCTATCACATCTGCCTCACTGAGGGGGGCGTGTCAGACACGCCCCCCTCCGTGATGCCACGCCCCCCTTAGTGTGTGAATCTGGCTCTGACACCAGCCAGTGCCTCCCCAGCCATTGACCTCACCGCACGTCACTGATCGAGACCGGGTGGCGAGCTCAGCTTGGGCGACAGAGAATCAGCACGACCTGAGTCGTTTTTACGGAATTGCGCCGTGCCGCTCTCTCTCTTTCCGGCTACACTCTCTCGGGATCGCACGGGGTGCACAGTATTAATCACGTTGCTTAACGCGTCGATCAATAGCGTGCTCCCACAAATTTTGCGATTTAATTGAATGACGCCATAGATGGCCCTACTCGATACAACTTGACGCAATAGCCCAATCAGCACGGGCATACATCGCTTGTGCTGAGTGGAGGCCCGGGGGGCGTTTAACCCGATCGGACCTCGGCTTTGGTGCTTTGTCAATGCTACGAATGTCAACGTTGCTATAAAACAGCCGCATGCCCATTTTCTCTGTGCGATCGGTGTAAATGACCTTAACCGACTCTGCACGTCTGCGCTTGTGTGCAAGGCCTCCCCTAAGGTCGACTCATCCTCAAGTGAATACCTGGTGCGTTGTGTAAACATCGCCACTAGGGAGACAAAGGCGGCCGGGCGTGGTGCAGGCCACCCACCCCCTGGTGTGCCGTGCCGGCCTTCATTAGGTGCTGCTCGCTCACAGCACTTGCCCCTACAGAGTGTCGCTGGCCACTCCACTCGCTCACGTGTTCATGACGGCACAAGAGGTGCTCCCAAACTGCGCTTTCTCCGACGGCCTATCGCGGCATCGTTTGTTTTGTGTTGGTGTAGAAAGATTAGCGGGTGTGAGCTGCTGCAGTCGGTTCACTCATTGCACTACGTACCTAGCAACCTTAATTCGGCCACGGCTAACATCAGTGGCGAGTGATCCTCCCCCGCCTTCATCAACTCGCAAGGACCGGCGTATGATGAAACAACCGCCCATTATCAACATTGTGTGTCGATGCCTTCGTACAGAAGTGGATTGGCAAAAGGGCTCGATTTCATTACTTATTATATAGAGAGCATATGCAGTTAGGTTATGTGCGTTGCAAACTAGCTTCACGCAACACACGTCAATGGGAATATTGTCACAGCGGGTAGCAAAGGGGCCGTCCATAAATGACGTCACGCGATTTTTGACGATTTTTGACCCCCCCCCCCTTCGTCACACGGCGTCACAAAAGGTCAGACCCCCCCCCCCTCAAATATGACGTCACAAAGCTCTGCCCCCCCCCCAAATAAATAAATAATGCTTCAAATCGCTTTAAACTATTGTCATTGTAGTGCGTATTTAATGTGGCGCTGCACCCTGATGTTGTAGGAGAAAATATTTATTAAAACGTCTATTTAATTAAGTAGAACGTGTTGTCTATATTTATTTAAAGTTGTGCATTTTGATGTGACGTCGCATTTCTCAACCCCCCACCCCCCACATCGTCACACACCGTCACAAATGTCTAACCCCCCCCCCCCCCAAATAGGTGCGTGACGTAATTTATAGACGGCCCAAAATGACCTTGAGTCCATGACTCCCAGCCGACCGAATTAAAACCAATAACAGCACAGCTTGTAACGTGTAGAAGAAGCATGCTACACGGTCACGAGAAACAAAAAAACAATCCCTTTCATTGTTGCGTCTGTGTCGCACAAGAGCGACACGCTCGTAATCAGGGGGTGCGCGTTTCGTGGTGCGTCGTCCCGTTGGAGGCCAGTCGCATCGCCTGGCTCGCAGACAAACTTTCTCGTGGAACCACGCGGCCGCGGAATTGCACAGGCGATTGCCACTGGTGGCTCAGGATGTCTGGCACTGCACGACTGTACGTGTAAGACTCTGCACGCATGAGAGAACATACTAGCTCGCGTAGATTCACGTATAAGTATTCAGTTCCCACATGGTAGCCGCACAGACTGCATGGGTAAGTGCTGCTGACCGTGAGTGCACATTGAAGGCAGTGCGACACGCGAGGGTTTTGCTGTGACTATCACCCCAAAAACTTGGCTACCTTTGTCTTCACCATGGTTGACTACTCAAAAGTGAATTTACCTAAAGGAAGCTCGGCCAAGGTTCAAATACTGTACATCTTTTCACAGCAAGGAAGTGAGCCGAGATCACAGTGAGTATGGCGTAGTACACTCACCGCTGTGACACCGCTCCTGTTTTAGATTTTCTTGCAATGTGGGGGGTGGGGGGGGGACGTGTTAGAGATGGCTTGGCGAGACCTTTATCCGGCAGTGGAGTGAACACGTCTCGCGATGATGCTTTTTGTACATAAATCCATGTTCCAGTGAGTGTGCACTTGAGAACCAAACAAATGCACTGTGTCAGCAAAGCACTGCCTATTTCATTTTTTAAAAATAAAAATTCATCCTCTTACAACACCACAAATGTGCATGTCTTCATGTATTGAATCTTGAAATGCAATTGCATATTTTCTAAAAATCGGACAGCCCTCTCATCCACTGCTGGACGAAGGCCTCCCCTTGCCATGTTGGTCAATGGGATTGAAACGAGAAAGTACACTTTTTATTTTATCAGGTAAGGCCCATTGAGCTATATATTTCTTTTTTCAGAAGCGACCTGGCCACAAATGATAGCTCACCGAAGTGGCTGATCGTGTGGAAATTTATAGCAGCCAAATACTATCAACGCGTGTTTCTAAGTGTGAAAGAAAAAAACCGGAGCACCGGGAGAAAAATCCACGTGACTACGGGGAGAGCATCCAAACTCCAAATATACAGCAGGCATCAAATATACAGCAGGCATCAGTGTCGGGATCGACCAGGCGGGGTCGTTAGAATCTCGCCAACGTGGCCCCCCATACTTCGCCATGCTGGTCAATGCGGGTTGGTGAAGGGGTGAGGTCAGCACTCGTCCAGATATCACTCATCGGCCGCTAGTCCTGACCGAACATTTCTACGTGTTTCTACGCATTTATTCGCGTTACGAAGATTTAATTTTGTTGCGTTTGTGTTTTGATGCACCTCTGTGTTGCCAACATAGGGTTCAAACTCATGACCTGCTTTTTAAGTCCAACAATACACTGACCTATTCTCGCGATAAGATATATTGCATACAGTCTACACACGCGTGGAAAGGAATGGTGGTGCATTTGTTAGCTCACCGCGCTG